AGTAGTAGTAGTAGTAGTAGTCGTAGTAATAGTAGTAGTAGTAGTAGTAGTAGTAGTAGTAGTAGTAGTAGTAGTAGTAGTAGTAGTAGTAGTAGGAGTGGGAGTAGTAGTAGTAGTAGTATTAATAGTAGTAGTGGTGTAGTAGTGGTAGTGTAGTAGTAGTAGTAGTAGTAGTAGAAGTAGTAGTAGTAGTAGTAGTAGTAGTAGTAGTAGTAGTAGTAGTAGTAGTAGTAGTAGTAGTAGAGTAGTAGTAGTAGTAGTAGTAGTAGTAGTAGTAGTAGTAGTAGTCGGAGTAGTAGTAGGAGGAGTCGTAGTAGTAGTAGTAGTTGTAGTAGTAGTAGTAGTAGTAGTAGTAGTAGTAGTAGTCGTAGTCGTAGTAGTAGTAGTAGTAATAATCATAGTCGTATTAGTAGTGGTAGTGGTAGTAGTAGTACGAGTATTATTATTATTATTAGTAGTAGTAGTAGTAGTAGTAGTAGTAGTAGTAGTACTACTACTACTACTAGTGGTGCTGGTGGTGGTTGTGGTGGCGATGGCTTTTGTGGTGGTTGTAGTACTGGTGGTGGTGGCGGTGGTAGTATTACGGTTTGCGGTAGTATTCGTGCCAACGGTGCACACAACACATTATATAAGTATGTGGGTTTCTACGGTCGCGTAATTTCCACGAGGTCGTTCGTCGAGATTGGGCGCCGCGTCCCATTTATTGCTTAGCCATATGATGTCGTAGCAGGGCACACTAGGCAAGAACGGCATGGGATTGGGTGGGGGCGCCGCTGCAACAGACACGGCCTGGGACACGGTGCGGCCACCACGCGCAAGCAGGCAACGAGTGAGGCCTGATCGCCAGGAGCATGCCCCCAAAGAGGAGAGAGGGGGGAACACGGCACGGCCGTACGGCGAATGCCCCCCCCCACCCCCCCGTCGCGCCACTCTGCCCCTCCTTCCCTTTGCCCCTTGAGGGGCAGCGAATGTGGTGACGTTGGCCCGGCCAGCCGCTGCAGAGCGTTTCCGTTGCGATGACAGCCCACTGTCAGGGGCAGCGGATCGTTCGGTGTCCGCCTCTTCGCCTCCTCCAATCCTCCGCCTCCTCTTCGTTTCTCCTCCCCAGGAGCACAATCCTGCCCCTCCCTCCCCGTTGCCCCTGTCAGGGGTGCCGCCTCCCCGCTGGCCTCCCCGCTCCGCCCCGCCCCCCCCCCCCCGGCCCTGCTGCCTCGCTGCTCCCTCTTCCCCGCCCCCCTGCCTGCCGCCCCCCCGCCTGTGGATGGAGGCGTGGGGGAGGAGGATGGGCCACGAGCAGGGGTGCGCCCCCGAGCGGAGGCGCCGAGCGCCACCCGTGGCGGCCCCGCTGCGATCAAAGACCTCAGGGGTGACCTGGCCGCGGCCCTGGCGACTGCTCCGCTCAGATATCCGACGTCGAAGAACATAGCAGCATCGCAGCAATCACCACCGGAGCTCCGGACCCCACCCTTGTCCCGAGCACTTTTTCGAACCGGACCAGCTTGCGAGGGTCCTGGGGCCCGAAACCGGGCGAAAGCTCCCGTTGCGAACAGCATCGCAACGCCAGGATCTCAGGGAGGGTCCTTAGATTTTTGTGGTTCAATACGCGGTCCCCGGGAGTCCCGACTCGTTCCCCAGGGCCGACTTTTTGTCCGGGGTCGCTTCTGACTGTCCCGATGCCTGGTGAGGGCCCCCGGAGGCCGAAAATGACAAACACAAACAAAAAGCCCGTCGTGATCTTTTAGCGGGACGCGAGATGGCCACGCGATCCAGCGGTGACCGGGCAGACCGCGGCACGGGCGGCGCGGGCGACGGCGCGCCGCGTGCGCATTGCGCCAGCCAGCTCGCGAGGGTCGTGTGGGGAGCGCGCGGCGGCGCGGCGGCTTGGCATCGCTCGGATGCGTTTTTTTTTTTTTTTTTTTTTTTTTTTTTTTTTTTTTTTTGTTTTTTGTGTTTTTTCCTTTTTTGTTGTTGTTTTTTTCGGCGAGGACCATCGAGGAGCATTTTGGGTCATCGCGCAGACAAAAACAAACCACGCACGAAGCCGAACAATGCACGGGGAATGGGCGCCTGAGCGATGGCTATAGGGCGGTGGGCGGCGCGCGCCGCAGGAGCGCGGGCCCGCCCTGGCACTTGCCGTCCTCCTTCAAGGGCTCCCTCGAGGGCGCGAAGTTATCCGCGCTTCGCGCTTCGCGGTCCTCGTTCCTTCTCCCCCTCCTCCTCGTCCTCCTCTTCTCCCTCTGGGGGGGCGGCGCGAGAGCGCGAAGTTATTCGCGCTTCGCGCTTCGCGCAGCGCGAAGCGCGAAGTTGGGAGCCCTTGCTCCTTGGGCTTGGAGCCGGGTGGGTGTGGCCCGGCACTGGTTCCGGCCGGCAGGAATCGAGTGATTCGGAAGTCGACTCACTCCAGAAGAAGTGATTTACATCGAACCTCATCTGTTCGTCGAATCAAACATTGAGCATCATGTCCGCAGATCTGCAGACCTTGTCTGCAGATTCTGCTGATCCGTTCGACGGACAAATATCAATGCTGCGGTAGATCGACTCTGCAGTCGATCCCCTACTCGAAGGACAGGGGGGGGCGAGGGCCGAGGTTCTGGGTTCCAGGAGGGTCTGGTTGCCTCTCTCTCGGCCGCGGGGGCCGTCCTCGGGCCCCGGTGTGGCCGTCAACGGAAGGGCTCCAGGGCGCAAAGCTCCGGGTGGGCCCGGGGAGGGGTCCGGGATCGATTTTGATGGTGGCATTGTTTTCCACCGCCACCCCATGTGTAGGAGGGGGATAGAGTCCTCCTCATCTTCTTCCTCCTCCTCCTCCTCCTCCTCCTTACCCTCCTCCTCCTTCCCCCTCCTCTTTATGGTGGTCTCGGTGGTGTAAAACAGGCCCGTCATTTGAGCGGCTTTGGTCTCAGTCTAGATCCCCCAGCGTCATGATGCTTTCGTATCATGTCGCCCCCCAGAGATCTCGAAACAATCCCTGGGACCATTCTTTCTTTTTCGTCCTGAGCCGTTATATTTGACGGTCCCGAGGCCCCCAGATGCCGAATGAAAGCGAACAGCCCTCCGTCGGGGTTTTTGCTCGACGCGAGGGGGTCTGGTATCACCCCCCTCATTGACAGAATCTCTCGGGGCCAATCCACTTCCCGACGCGAGGGGGTGGGATCCCTCCTTCTTGACCGATTCTCATTGCCCACCAAACCACCCCAGCCCAACCCGAATGCCTCAATAGCCCTCCATTTCCTGTGGGAGGAGGGTCGGGGAACAATGAAAAAACACATTCATATGGAGCCCGTACCCCCCCAACTCGCAATTGGGGTCTTCGGGTTGGGTTGGGGTGGTCTGCTAGATCGTCAGATTCTCTTGGGGCCACTCCACTTCAGGTCCCCCCGGCCGCCTCCAACTTTGGGCATCCCCCAGGCTTCTCGTCGCCACGGCCAGGCTCAGTGTTGGACCCCTCCGCCTCGGTTCGCTTCGGCTTCGATCGCTCCCAGCTCCGATGCGCTTCGGCTTCGGACCCCGATGTGGATTGTTCGGTTTCTCAATGGAGGCCTTGCTATCAGTGGGGGAGAAGGTTACGATACCGCTACCATTCCATCGTTTTCGCCTTTTTGGGCCTCCTGGGAGGTCCTCGTCGTCACCGCTGGACTCGCTTTGAAATTCTGGTCAGAACGCACTCTGTGAGAGGTCTGGGGAGTAGCAGTATCGGTACCTTTTGGTTCCCCATACTGGCCTGCCGATCTCCGTCGACCCGACTTTTCCGACTTGGCTGCCGATTCTCGCCGATCCGATACATTTCGATCGCCGGTCCGACTTATCGATTCGATTTTGGGCTCTCTTGCCACGGCTGGGCCTATCCCGAACTATTGGTCGGGATGGGCCAGACCCTGGGAGGGGTCCGGGGACCGACTTTGAGTCGGCTCGGGATGCCCCCAGGTCTGGTTTCGCAAGAACGAACTGCAACATCGCAAACATCACCACTGGAGCCCAGAACCCGTCTCTCTGCGTCGCCTTTCGAGCTGGATCGGCCTGCTAGGGTCCTGGGTCCTGGAATGATGCGCAAACGCCCGTTGGGCAACAGTTGCGACGCCAGGATATCTGGGAAAGAGATCAGGTCGTCGGATGCCTGGGCAGATCGGTGGTGTGGCTTGATCGCGCGATGAGGAGGGAGACTGTCTTTGGTTTGAGTCCCCTGGCGATAACGGGCGTGACTGGGGGGAAGGGGGGAAAGGGGGGCCCAGCCACGTCACGATTCGCGCTGGCGCCGTCTGGGCATGCCTCAGGCTGGCTAATTCCCAGACGGCGCTGGCGCGGATCGTGACGGGACCAGGGTGGTCGGAGGTGGGGGGGCGTGGTGAGGCCAGTCACGGGTGCCATCGCGAATAATAGCAAAGAGTTGTTCATCCGTTCCAGCGCGTTCTGTAACACTCTCAGAGCCTTCAGGAGCGTTCCGAGCCGACACGCCCTCGAGAGCCGTCGGAATTCAGAGATCTCCCATGCCATTCCCTGTCAGATCTTTGCACCAGCACGAGCACCACGTCTTGGTCTCTGGGTCTCTCAAAGGGGCCCAACGCCCCTGCCCGAGTCGGAACCGTTGCGGAGGGTGCTGCAGAGGCTGGGGTGTCTGGCATCGTGTGTCCACTGCAGAACGTCGCTGGAACGTCCCGCACCCTGTCAGGCCTCCGCCCCGTCCAGGCCTCGTCTTCGGAGGGGGCGCGACCGCGGGCCACCCGCGGGAGCGCCAGGAGTCGAGGGAGGAGCAGCCACCCGGACCCGACGAGTGGCGTTCACGAAACGGCCCTGGGCGTTCACCAAGCAGCCCTGCCTTGTTTGCGATTCCTTCTTTGGGTGCGTTTGCGAAACGGCCTCGCGTGCCGGGGTGGTTACTATCGGGGTGGATGTTCTGCCTTCTGAAAAGGTGTAGGCACTACCCAGACGTGCTCATACTGCCTGTGCGCCGCACCCCCACAGGGGGCGAAACGCACATGCACTCAGTGGCGGGCACCTTCTGGCCATATCGCTCGGGCAACGATACGCACAACAAAACAAACCCGGCAGAAAGAAGAAACACGCGGGCAGCGCAACACCCGGGGCTCGGAGGTGCGTTTTTTTTGTTTTGTTCTGCGATCGCTCGTTTTTCTGCTCTGCGGGGGTCTTTTCTATTGCAGGAGGTTTGTACTGGATGCTCGGTTCGGACGTGCGCCTCCGTGGAGGGCGCATAAGGCTCGCACGTCCTTCTGCGTCCCACTGGTGGCCGCGCCCCCGGGGACCAGGGGGGCTGCTCCTCCCCCAGCGGGGGGGGGGGGCGCGGGCAAGCTCTGGTTCCGCACCCGCGCTGCGCCTCGGACTCCTGTGGGAAGCTTTGCGATGAGGCCGAGCCGCGCAGTGGGCACCCATCGGCTGTTGAAAGCAGGTATTTCTGGGGCACCCGGGGTCCAATCTGCTTTAAAGCGCCTTGCTACTTGAAGGGTCGAGTGGATTCATCTTTTCCGACCTCCTCAGGGGGCGGGCGGAACCCCATTTATGTTCAGCGCCTTCCTACTTCATGTTTCCACCTGCTGCTTCCGACCGATGGGTATTGATAAATGTATGGATCCTGTAGGGGCCAGATCTTTGTCCACGTCCACTGCGCCTCGGGTGTCCCGGGAGGGGAGACCGGAGCTCCAAGACGCGCTGCGTACGGATACAGGTCTTGCTCGCACGCCGCGCGCTCGACGCTTCCGGACGCCTCCGTGAGCTGGTGGCGAACTCGGAGCCCTGCCCTCGCCGATCAGCGATCCAGGCAGCTCGATTCCCGGAGGGCTCGGCGACTTCCCGCCAATCGACTCGTGGGGCTCAAGCTGGATAGATTGGGGCCGATGCAGACAAATCGAGGCAGATTCAGGTAATGCTGGGCAAATCCAGGTAAATCCAAAGAGATCCAAAGATAGCCATGAAATTTGAAGCGCGTGGCCGCTCCAGCGCGAGTCGAAGGGCGGCAGACGGCGTGAAGCCCGGAACGATCGAGGGGCGGCGGGGGTAGGGTTCGGAATTCGCTGAGTACGTGTCGGCGAAAGCCGAGCCCCACCCCCACCTCCCATCGATTCAAGAGAACCGATGGCAGGCGGGGGTAGGGTTCGAATGTCACCACCCAATCGGTTTTCGAACGCTTTGGGGACTTCTTTTATACCCTGGGGTTAACGTCGTGACTGGGCACGGGGCGGGGGGGGGAAGGGGCTGAGCACGTCAAGATTCGAGCCATCGCCGCCTGGGCATCCCTCGTGTTCTTCGTGTTTGTTGGATGTTCTTGTGCATCCTGGGGAGGGTACCCTTGACTGTTCTTTATGTTTTCGCCAGCGGAGGATCTCATGTTCTTGAGGGATGTTCGTCTGGCCCAGGGCCGAATGTAGCTGATTCTCAGACGGCGCCAGCGCGAACCGTGACGTGAGCAGAGGTAGGGGGATGGGGGAGGGGGGAGGGCCGGTCACGGGCGTACCCTGAGATCCGACGCAGTCAAAAATTGCAACATCGTGAACCAAAAAGTCACGCCAGGGATTCCTGTGGATCCCGAAGGATTCCTACGGATTTCGCCGGATTCCTATGGCTCCTAAAGGCTCCCAAAGATTTCTAGGGATTCCGATGAATCCCTGGGGGCTCTTGGAGATTCCTGAGTAGTCCTATGGAGTCCCAGGGGATCCTAAGAGAGCCCAGGGCATCATCTTCTGCGTCATTCTGTGGGGCGGACCGATCTGCGAGGGTCCCAGGGGCCCGAGCTCGAGCGGGAACGTCGGTTGTGAGAACACGGCGACGTGAGGGCCTCGGGGCCTCGCGAAGCATGGGCAAAAGGTGGTGCGTCGAGGTCCCCCTATGGGGCTCCTTCCGGCCCCGGGATGCTGCCTCCAGCAGCTGCGCGGCGCCGAGGGCGCTCCGAGGGGGTGCAAGGGATCGTCCCGAGCGGCCGCCAGAGGGCCCGAGCGATGGCCCGAGAGCCGAGGGGTGCTTGCTCGGGGCTACTTGCTGCTCGAGCGTCACGATGAGATGCCTGGAGGCCTCGCGCGGCGCCCAGCAGCTGCAGCATCCAGTCGACACGTCGGCCCCGTCAGCTATGGGACGACGTCGGCCCGCTCGCAGGGCGATGTTCCAACGTGCACACGACGTGCATCCGACGGAAGTCCGACGAACCCGACGTGCATCCGACGTGAGTCCGGCGTGGGTCCCGTGTTGCCGCGCGAGGCTTGCGGGGTTCTCTCCGTGACGACGGGCCGGCCCACCCCTCGGCCGTGCACCGAGGTCATGATGCTCAGCGCGGGCTCGGACCCGGCCGTGCTGAAGACGCTGGGCAGGCAGGGGCGGCGGCCTCCACCGCTGCCCGAGGCCGGGGGCCGCAACTCCGTCCTGGAGTGGACGCGGGAGATGTCGGAGGGCCGCATCTGGACGAGGCGGACGATCCCCAACCGCCCGACCTACGGACCCGGGGGCGCGCCGAGCAGGGGAGCGAAGCGTGGCATGCACATCAACAACTCGGGAGGTCCGCGCGCGCATTTTCCCGGATCCGCGCGGGCCTCGGAGCTTTCACGTTTATGGCATTCCTCGTTCCCCTGTCAAGAGAGGGGGGGTGGGGGGGGGGGGCGAGGGGGGCGGCGGGGCCTGACGCGGCACCCGCCTCCTGGGAGCCCTCCCGCCGGCTGCCAGGCGTCGGGGGACTCGGAGGAGGGAGGGGCAGGCCCCTCTCCAGGCCCCCGCCCAGGCGAAATGCGGTCGGGAACTCGTGGTGAGCATGTCGCTCCGCTGGTTCTGGCGCCCACCGCGCTTCGGCGCGGCACGCTGTCCACTTCCGGGCCCCCGAGCTTCATAGCGTGTCGCCGTGGCCACCGCCGCGACACGCCACCCGAACATTCCTGCCCCGTGGGAGGCCAGCCCCGTCGCTCCGCCCCGCTCTTTCGGCACCGTCGAGGAGTTTCGCGCGAGGAGCTGGCCGTGCAGCGGCTGCAGCAGAAGGACGAGTCCAAATCCGTGGAGCAGCTCGAGGAAGACATGGCGATCATGAGGGCGTGGCTGCTGAAGTCGGGGGCAGCAAATCTGCACCTCTCCCTCGTGTCCCGCCCTCCCTTCCCCTCTCGGTCCCCCTCGCCTCTCCCTCCCCGCCCCCTTCTTCTGTCCCTCGCCTGCATCTCCCTCCCTCCTGTGGCCCTCTTCGTCCGTTCCCCCTTCCCCCTCCCCCCCTCTTCCCGCTCCCCCACCGGTACCCTTGCTGGGCCCATTTTCCACCACCACTACCATATGTAGGAGGAGGAGGAGGAGGAGGAGGAGAAGGAGGAGGAGGAGGGCCTACTCATCCTCCCATCTCCCCTGTCCTACAAATGGTAGCGGCGGTGGAAAATCTGCCCATCAACCCTTCCTCCTTCCTCCTTCAGCCCCTGCCGTGCCCCCTCCTGCACCATATGGTGAGAACGGGAGCACCCCCGTAGGGGGCCTACGCCTGCCGTGGGGGGCCTGCTGGGTCGCGAAGCCGCCCGCACCCGCCCGCAGGGCTCGACTCCCCAACGGACGGTGGTTTTTGGCGACGTCGTGGGCCGTTTTTGGGCTCTCTGAAGCCGTTTTGAGGCCCCCTCTGGCGCCGCTTCGTGGGCAGTCTTGGACACTGTTGAGAATATGTTAAGAAATACGTTTCCTGGTGCTAATGGGGGCCGGCCCCTTGACACCGGCACGAATATCGGCGGGGTGCCTCTACGGAGGGAGAAGAAGATCCCGATCTCGGCGGTGGTGGTAATATTCTGGCTTCAGGGTGACCAGAATGTTACCACCAGCACCGAAATTCTTTTTGGAAACAGAACCAAACCCAAAAGCGACAGGATTCAGCACGCCAGGAACCCCCATGTGGCAAGCCAACAGGGGGCGGCGGATCGAAGACGCCTACGGCGAATCACCGCCGCCCCCTGCCTTTTTGGAAGCGCCGAACGTTGGGGTCAGACCTGCCAAGCTATAGGACCATGTGTTCCCCGAATCGGTTTGGAAAGCCTTCGGGGAACACGTGGGCATCTTGAGGGACATCTTGGCCGCCTGGAGGCTATTTCGACCCTTTCGGGCCTTCTTGGAGGACATCTTGGAGGGTTCTTGGGCCGTCTTGGAGGCCATCTTGAGCGTCTTGGAGGCCTCTTGGGTCGTCTTGGGGGCCTCTTGGGGCCGTCTTGGGCCTCTTGGGCGATCCTTGTGGGCAGTTGGGCCGTCTCGGGCCGTCGGAAGGCCGAACAAAAAGCAAATGCCACAATCATGTAAAAACTCATGGGAAATCAATGATTTTGGCATCTTCTGGCCTTCCTGGAGGCCCTCTTGGAGGCCTCTTGGGCTGTCTTGGGCCATCTTAGTGCCATCTTCGGCCGTCTTGGTGGGCCCCTGGCCCGTCCGACGCCGTCGGAAGCCGTTAGGAGGGCCTCTCTGAGCCGACTTGGGGCCCTTTTGGAATGCTCCAGGGCCGTCGTGGAGGCCATCTTGGGCGTCTTAGAAGCCTCCTGGGCCGTCTTGGGGGCCTCTTGGCCCGTTCTGGAGCCCTCTTGGTGGCCTCTTGGGCGATCTTTGGGCGATCTTTGGGGACTCTTGGGCCGTCTCGGGCCGTCGGAGGGCCGAAAAGAAGCAAATGTCAAAATCCTTTTAACATTTAAAGGAAATCAGTGATTTTGGCATCTTCTGGCCTTCCTGGAGGCCCTCTTGGAGGCCTCTTGGGCCGTCCTGGGCCAGTTCAAGCCAACTTCGGCCATCTTGGTGGGCTCCTGGCCCGTCTGACGCCGTCGGGAGCCGTCTTGGGGGCCTCTCTGAACCGACTTGGGGGTCCCCTTGGGGCGCTTCGGGGCCGTCTTGGAGGCCATCTTGGGCGTCTTGGAGGTCTCTTGGGCCGTCTTGGGGCCCTCTTGGGGCCGTCTTGGAGGCCTCTTGGGCCGTCATGGGGCCATCTTGGAGGCCTCGTGGGCGATCTTGGGGCGATCTTGGGGGGCTCTTGGGGCGACCTTGGAGGAGGTATCTTGGACTCTCTTGGGTCGTCTTGGAGGCAGTTAAGGACCATCTTGGGCGGACTTGGAGGCCATCTTGGGCCAACGTGACCATCTTGGAGGCCATCTTGGACCATCTTGGAGGATTTGTGGTAGAATTGAACTCCGTGGCAATCCTCCCGGGAGCCCGGCTGGACGCGCTGGAGCCCCAGGGGGAGTCCTTTTGGAAAAGAACCAACACCAAAAGCGGTAGGATCTGGCACGCCAGGCACCCCTTTGATGAATCAAAAGGGGGCGGCGGATCGAAGACGCCTACGGCGAATCACCGCCGCCCCCTGCCTTTTTGGAAGCGCCTATGTGGCCGAAAGTTGAGGCCAGACCTGCCAAGCTATCGGACCATGTGTTCTCCGAATCGGTTTGGAAGGCCTTCGGGGAACACGTGGGCATCTTGAATGTCATCTTGGCCGCCTGGAGGCTATTTCGACCCTTTCGGGCCTTCTTGGAGGACGTCTTGGAGGGTTCTTGGGCCGTCTTGGAGGCCTCTTGAGCGTCTTGGAGGCCTCTTGGGCCGTCTTGGGGGCCTCTTGGGGCCGTCTTGGGCCTCCTGGGCGATCCTTGTGGGCAGTTGGGCCGTCTCGGGCCGTCGGAAGGCCGAAACACAGCAACTGTCACAATCCTTCAAAAACTCAAGGGACATCAGTGATTTGGGCCTTTTCGGGCCTTCCTGGAGGCCCTCTTGGAGGTCTCTTGGGGCGTCTTGGGCCATCTTAGGGCCATCTTCGGCCGTCTTGGTGTGCCCCTGGCCCGTCCGACGCCGTCGGAAGCCGTTATGGGGGCCTCTCTGAGCCGACTTGGGGCCCTCTTGAAATGCTCCAGGGCCGTCGTGGAGGCCATCTTGGGCGTCTTAAGAGCCTCCTGGGCCGTCTTGGGGGCCTCTTGGGGCCGTCTTGGGGCCGTCTTGGGGGTCTCTTGGGCAGTTCTGGGGCCATCTTGGAGGCCTCTTGGGCGATCCTTGGGCGATCTTTGGGGGCTCTTGGGCCGTATCGGTCCGTCGGAAGGCCGAAACGAAGATCATGTCAAAATCCTTCGAAACCTTGGGCCATCTTGGTGGGCTCCTGGCCCGTCTGACGCCGCCGGAAGCCGTTCGGGGAGCCTTTCTGGGCCGATTTGGGGCCCTCTTGGGGTGCTCCAGGGCCGTCTTAGAGGCCATCTTGGGCGTCTTGGAGGCCTCTTGGGTCGTCTTTGTACCCTCTTGGGGCCGCCTTGGGGGCCTCTTGGGCAGTCCTGAGGCCATCTTGGAGGCCTCTTGGGCGCTGTGGGGGCGATCTTGGGGGCCTCGTGGGCCGTCTTGGGTCGTCGGGAAGCCAAGAAGAAGCGAATGCGAAAATCCTTCAAAAATCTCAGGAACATCAATGATTTTGGCCTCTTCGGACCCTCCTGGAGGACCTCTTGGAGGCCTCTTGGGCCGTCTTGAGCCAGCTGCGAGCCAACTTCGGCCATCTTGTTGGGGTCCTGGCCCGTCTGACGCCGTCGGAAGCTGTTTGTGGGGCCTTTCTGGGCCGACTTGGGGCCCTTGGGTGCTCCAGGGCCATCTTAGAGGCCATCTTGGGCGTCTTGGAGGCCTCTTGGGTCGTCTTTGTGCCCTCTTGGGGCCGTCTTGGCAAGACGGCCCCAGACGGCCCCCTCTCGCCGGGGGCCCGCTTTTCGTCCCGAGTCGTTCTTGTTGGCGGTCCTGGGGCCCGTTGAGAGCCGCTGGAGGCCGGAAACGACAACTGGCCACCTCCGAGAATGTCCGAGACCTCGGAGATGTCTGGAGAGGTGCGGGTTCAAGCGCCACGAGATCAACGAGCAGGAGGAGATCGCGGAGCTGCACACGCGCTTGGCGGCTGCCCGGGCCCGGGAGGAGGCGAGCGCGTGAGCATGCGCGCGCGGGCCGCGCGAGGCGCTCCCGCGCCCTCGCGCTCCGCAGAGGCCGCGTCCCGCTCGAGGAGGCCTTGTCGCAGGGCATCCACGGAGACTGGCGCTGCATGTTTTCACCACGAGCGTTTCCGCGTTCTGTCGGGCTCGGAGGTCTCACAGGTCGATCCCGCTCGGAACATCACGCAGAAAAATCGGGTCTGGGGCTCTGGCATTTTCTTCGGATCTCAGTTGCCCTGCTACGCAACGCGAGGAACGTAGCGTGACGACACCGACTGGGCCCCACACGCAACTGACTGGCGCGGTTCGTCCGCCAGAACGTGGGCCAACGCGTGCCGAGCCCACGCTTCGGCGGACGAATCGCGCCAGTCAGTTACGTGTTGGGCCCAGTCGGTGTCGTCACGCCACGTTGCTCCGCTCGCCCTGCGCAGCAGGGCGGCCGAGTCCGCCCTGTGGAGAGCCCTGCGGCAACGTCAGCTCCGCGGGGGGTCGCCTCCACGGCAGCGCCCAGCCCGCCGCCCCGCCGCGAAGCGCCGAGACGCGGGCGCCGCGCCGCCGCCTCTGCTGCGGCCGCCCCCGGCGGCGGCGGAGGCGGCGGCCAGCGCTGCGGGCAGTGTCGGGCTCCTCCGCTGCGACGGCGGCGACTGCGGAGAAAGCGGTCACGACAGAGGCGACGACGACGACGACGCTTCGTCGCCGCCGCCGCCGCCGCCGTCGTCGTCGTCGTCGTCGTCGTCGTCGTCGTCGTCGTCGTCGTCGTCGTCGTCGGCGTCGGCGTCGTCGTCGTCGTCCGCGCTGTGCTCCCCTTGGGGGTCGATCTTCGGGGGCCTCGGCAGGCGGTGAATCTTGGATATATTCGGGCCCCCTGGGACCCAAGTCCACCGCTCCCTGTGTTGCTTCGGGCGCAGTCCGACACTGTTTCGACACTGCTCCGACACTTTTCCGGGTGCTCGATATTGTTACTAGGATGTGGTCCTTAAGTACGATGGGAGCAACATAATTCTAGGGAGCCTCCCTCGTCGCACCGCCAGGAGTGTGGGCAGGGCGATTTCTGTTTTCGGGAAAGCCACGCGGGTTATTGGCGTGCTTTTTTGTTGTTGTTTTTCAAACGTGGTTTCAGTAAGCGTGCAGCCCTTGGTCGACCAGTGAAGGTCAGAGGGGCCATCATGGTCTCCTAGCTTTAAGTCGGGCCTGTCCCTCTACAGGGGGAATATTCAAAAATAGTCAGGGGACGATGTTTTGACAATGTTTACGCATTATTGGGGTATTATTTTGGGTTCTTATTGTTTCTGGTCCAAAATCCGCCTGTAGGGGGACATGCCCGACCTAAACCTAGTTCCCCTCAATGTCCCCTGGGTTTGTTACGCTCTTGCCCCTGGGGAGAAGTGTCTCCTGCCCTCGAGCACGTCCTCTCGCACGCGACCCGGCTGCATCCCCACGACATTTTCCAGCACATCATAGATCTGAGCGCCCGTGGTTTCACATCTGATTCGGGTTGTAGTTTGATGTTTCACTGCATGGGCGATCTTATTCATTTGGATTCCCTCCCCCACAGCTCATGTTCCTGCTGCCTGTGGAGTTCAGAAGTTACACCGATGGGGGACGGCTTTCGTAATCGCGCTTTCGCTTCAGCACCGCGCTTATGGTTATCAGACTTTGGACCTGATTCATGGGCGAAGGCTGATTCCTTGTCAGGCTCACCGTTCTGTTTTTACACTGTGCGGTATAGTGCTTCTTGGGGCGAGTTGGCAACCAATAGGGTTCTTACACGTCCCATGCCTCTGATTGGGCCATGGGGGAGTACTGCCGTTTCAGTGTGGCAGCACGTCCACAACATGTGGCAGGCCGATCGGCCTCTCACATTGCCAGCGGGCGCTCCGTGAAGCGACGACGGGTAGTTGTGTAAAGAGGAAGAGGCATCGGACGCGAGGAGGTATCGGGGCATCCAGAATGTATGCTCGTCTTGCCCTGGTCATTCCCTTCGTCCTCCCCCCTCGACTCTCCTTCTCCACCCTGGTTCATTCTCCCTCGTCCCTCCCTCTTTGTCATCCCTCCCCCTCCTCCTCCTGCTCCTCCTCCTCCTCCTCCTCCTCCTCCGCCCTCTTCTCGCCCCTGGGCAGAAATGATGGCAGCGCGGTAATTCTCTCCAGCTTGTCCAGAGTGGCAGTGATGCCACCGTTCGCCTGTACAACACATCGGTCGTCTCGGCACTCAGCTGTGTCTCACACTTCTTTCCGCTTGACTTGAAGATTGCTCGCCGTGAACATTACATCTTTCACAAAATGCTCAACCTGCCGCCGAACCCATTCCGCAAAGTTGATTTCATTGCAATGGCGGAGTGGTGTCCGCCTCCTGTCGCACGTTCTGCTCAGATTTCTGCCGTCGCTGCCGCAATTCGTTCTGCTACATTCACACTGCGCGGGGAATGGGAACCATTCCATGCACGCCTGCGTGACACCGCGTGGGAGGAGAGCACGGCTCACTCCTTCCATCGGTGGGAGACAGGGCAGTGGTCCCCGCCCTTTTGGGAAGAGGACACTTCCATCGTGCAGTTCTACCATGCCCTGTCCTGCTGGAAGCGTGCCTTCCCGTTTTCTGCAGCTGCCGTGGCCGCGGCAAACCGCGCAGCTGCCCGCGAGCTCCGTGATGCCCCAGCTGCTGAGCCACCGCGCCGCCCGAAGGTGCAACGTGCGGTCGCGCTCGAGCTACGCCGCTCCTCTTTTTCATCGCCGTTCAAAGTCACTCTTGAGAAGCGCATCGAAGCCTGGGGCATCCTGCAGCCTTCTGCCCCAGAGCTCGCGACGCGACGATGGTCTGCTCTCACCAATGTACTCCACAAGCTCTGCCCCAGCTGGCGCCAGGCGGTTTTCAAAACGCTTGCTGGGGGTTGGACGACCACCCACCGCATGCACGTCCTCCAGCAGAAGCAGTGCGCGTTTGGGTGCCAGGCTGCACCCGATTCGTTCCCTCACTACCTCTCCTGTCCTGGCCTCCTGCGCCCCATCTGGTCCCCCGACCCTCCCCCGCTCCGTAACACACTTACACACTGGGGCCTGGGCCCCCCCGCCGCCTATCCGTCTGATCCCGATAGCGACCTCTCGTTGCTGCGGTCGATCCAGCGGCTTGCGTTGGCCTT